CACTGAGGGTTGCAATCCGTTGCCGGTCACGAAAAAAGACAAAAAGGAAAAAAAAAAAATGTTCCCGAGAGGACTGAAATCCAGGAGGCAGCATGTCATGGAAGGGTACAAGAAAAACCTGGACTTGCAGCTGGGTTTCCACCCCTAACTACCCTGGGAGGGTTCTCACCCCCATGAGCTGCCTCTTAGACTTCCCCAGGGTCACTGCTTAGGTGTGCCTGGGCATGGAGCAAGTACGCATGTCTCCTCTCCAGTTATGATGTCCAACAGACTGGTAAGTGCACCTTCCAGAAAGATATTATCATTACATCGTTGAGTGAAGACTTGAGGACCCCCATCTGAAAGGTCACAATGACTTGGCCCAGAGAGATAAAGACCTGCCACTTGCAAGTGGCCATCAGGACACGGTGAGGGCAGAGACATGGACACAAGGAAATACCCATGTTTACTCTGTGCCTCCCGAGTTCTGGCTTTCTAACTGCTGGGTGATCCTTCACCCTTGGGAATAGCTTCACCCCTGTGTGGTTACACCTGCACCTGAGATTTAGGGGGCTAGTTGTTACTGCAACGTATTTTAGCCTAGACTGACAATTGGTCACAGTAGGCTAGCTGCTGGAACCACAGATGAAAGTCACACATGAAGTTACTCAGCCAAAAGTGGGAGAACAGAAAGTAGAATTTAAGTCACTGTTTTTCTTTTTCCCTGACTCTACCAAATTACCTCTTTAGGCAAGTTTGTTAATATAAAGTGAAAGGTACCTATGGGAGCCATAGCTGGCAGGAACTTCCAGAGTGACCCAATGGGTGAAACATGCCAGGCAGCCAGGAGCCATGTGGATTCCCAGGAGTGAAATGTCACCCTCAATGGGCATGGGCTGACCAGAGGGTGCCCCAACACACAGCGCCAAACTCTGGCCCAGGCACTGAAAGTGCCAAAACTCCTCCTCCTGTCTATCTAGACTCAGTCCTATTGTGACCCAAGTCCTCCAACCCCCACTGAGTTGGAACTGAGGCTGACATTAACACTCCTGATGACACAAAGCTCTGAGATCCACTTTGGGGAGAAGTGACAGTCCTGACTAACCACTTCTCATGAGTGCACATCCATGCACACAAGTAAATGTACACAGGTGCTCATGAGTGTCTTTGCTGCAGGCTGAGTGTACGCATCTAAGCACTCACATCCACGTGGAAGCATGTGTGTGTGAGGGGAGCATGCACATTCAAGTGTTAGTTTGTGCAAGGAAATGAACCCAGCCTGAGCAGTGAAGATCACACTAATGCTAAGCACTGGAGTTCCTACTGTAAATCAATATCCAGGCACACTTTTATTGCTTTGGTTTCTTTTTTTGGCAGTTTCTTTTTTGGTGGATGGCTGCCAGTATGGAGATCCAAACCCTTGACCTTGGTGTTATCAGCACCATGCCCTACCAATGGAGCTTCTGTCTGTTGAGCTCACACCTTGGCCTGGCTTCTCTGTTCAGGCATTATGCTCAGTTCTGGGAATGCAGTGATAAAAATCAGTGTCTTTGCCTTAAAGGAGCTCACAGACTAGTAGGGAGACAGGCTAATCAAGACAGAATTACAATCAGTGCTAGGACTGGGGTGCCTCAGGATCAAGGGAAGGCACTCTCCACGCTGGGGGTCTAGGGAGGAAGATTTCTAGAGCTGCCACCATCTGAGCTGGGTCCTGAAGGCAGAATTAAATATCAGGTGGAGAGAGAGTTAAAGAAGGGAAGAATATTTTGGGCAAGAGAGTCAGAGAGGCAAAGAGAGAAAGGTCCAGAGACAGTGTCATCTTCAGAGACTCACAGCCACTGCATATGGGATGGGTGGGTCTAGGTGTTGGCGGAGCACTGAGGAAAACTGGCAAGAGATGGGGCTGCAGGAGTGGGCAAAGAGCAAAATGGGTCTTACAAAGGGAGTCAGTGAGTCAGGATTCCTGACTTCAGTCAACGCCAGGGCTTGAGTCAAAATTGGATTTCTGGGCCTGCCGGACCCTGTACTGCTATGAATTCATCCAAGTGGTGAGTCCCTCTGGGAGTCAGTTCAGAGGGCAGCCAAGTGGTCCCCACCAACACTACAATCAAGGCAGGCCTCTCTCGAAGGTCAGCACCTTGTAGGAGGGTGTGATCACCTGAAAAATGTACCCTTCCACCCCCCCAAAATGGCCACATCCTAACCCTGAGAACCTGTAAATATGTTACATTTATGGTGAAAGGGGCTTTGCACATGGGATTGAGTTAGTAGTGCTGAGAGAGGGAGATGACCCAGATTACCCAGCATAACCAATGCATCACCAGGGTCCATGTAGAGGAAGACAGGACAGTCAGTGTCAGAGAAAAAGGAGACACAGAGATGGCAGCAAAGAGTGGAGCACTGCAGGGAGGGGTCACAACCGAGGGATGCAGGCGGCCTCCAGAAGCTGGGAAAGCCAAGGAAACAGTTTCTCCCCTAGGTTGCACAAGGAACACAGCCCTGCTGACACCTGGAGATTAGGACTTCTGGCTTCAAGAACTGTAAGACAGTAAGTTTGTTTTAAGCCACTTAGTTTGTGGCAATTTGTTACAGTAGCAATAGGAAACTAATACAGAGGGGGTAGCAATATCAAGCCAGACCTACTGGAAAAAAGTCACCTCTTCCTGAGAAAGAAGAGCTACTCTTCTGCCAAACGTGTCACAAATCATTGCCTCTGGCTCCCAGGGCAGATGTGACTGTGACCCTGACGGACCGCTAACTTACGTGCATGTGCCAGGCTGAGGGCCCAGAGCCGGAGGTAGGAGGCTGTGTTGGAAATGCAACCCAGGCAGTACTCGATGGTGTGGATGGCCTGATGGACAAAGACGTCTCCGAAGTTGAACTGAAAGAGAGAATTCATTTTACCCCATGAAGTACTTTCTACATGAAAGGCATTACAAATGATACACGGATGAGTGAGACAGGGGCCTTGCTGTTAAGACTTTTCCCGGCTAATGAGGGAAAATAATTATATACTTGGAGAAATATAATTAGCAGCACAAAGTAGGGTATGGTATGTGTGCAGGAACGTTTTCCAGCAGTAGCTGAAAGCAGATCAGTCGGTAAGGGGGACAGGACGTGTGCTGTGCCATGACGGATGGGAAAGATCCAGCAGTAAGAGAAGCAAATGGCTCCTGATGAGGAAAGTGGCCCCCGGTAAGGAAAAGGCAGTGGCTGGGAATATCATTAAGCCAAGTCAGGGAGAAAACAATTTGGCTGGAACTGGGAGCTTGTTTAGGTGAGGAACACAGGACAGTGCTCAGGTGTTAAAGTTTCTGGATAGACAAGCTCTGGGGATGGTTGAGAAAATAACCCAGAGTCAATGAGGAGCCATAAGAGGTATCTGAGTTGAAAGGAGCAGGGGGAATAAAGAAACATTTGGGAGATTGATCTGGCAGCTTAATGGATTAGAGAAGGGACAGCCTGTAAGCAGAAAAGCCAATTTGGTGTTTAGCTCAGTAATACAGGAATGAGGTGATGAGAAATGGCACAAAGACAGCCATAGCTCATTTTTCCTTCTGCACCCGATGGTGCGGGGGAAACTGTTTGACTGGCACTGTCCCTGCCCTCGAGTAGCTCACAGCCTAGCAGGGAGAATAGGCAAACAGAGAGCTGCCTGTCACAATATGGGAAGTGCAATATCACGACATGCGGTGGCATTGCGGGACACAGAGGAGGACCCCTTACACAGGTAGAGCCTGGGTCATGCAGGGCTCTGGGGCTCTTGCACCTGAGTAGCTAGAAGGATGGTATTGACAGAAATGGATACACTGGAGGGGGAGGGGAGTAGTTGGGTGAGGTGACAATGGGCCATACAAGTACTAGAACCTTCTGGTACATAGTAGTAGAGGTGGGACTGGTGCTCAGAAGAAAAGTTCAGGCTGGACAGGTATAGCTGGGACCTCATCTGCAGGAGGACTGAGAATATCCACAAGGGGACAATCACAGAGCTCCCAGCCTTGGGAAACATCTTCATCCACAGATAAGAAAAAAAGAATCTGATGAGGAAAAGAAAAGGTCCAAGAAGCTGGAAATATCACAGCTGCAGTCAAGGATATCAAAGACGGAGAGAGATCAGGAGGAATGAGGTTGCGGTCAAGCAAGTCAGAGGTTACGGAGAAAAGAATCAGTGCCCTGTAAGTCACCAGTGAAACCTGCTGTGAGCAGTTGAGGGCTGGACAGGGATGGAGTGAGCAGGCAGAGTCAAGCAAAGGAGCAGAGTGCAGCGAAGGATTGATTTCACCCAGAGAGAAATCTGGCTTTGGCCTGGCTCCTGGAGAAAACCTCTAAACTCTTGGCATGTCCCAGGTGAAAGTGTCTTTGTAATGCATGGTGGGCCCCTGGGACCACACCTGGTAGCTTTTGCTAATGAGGTGACACTTGATGGGGCCCTGATGGTACAGGGGGCAAGGAGCTGGCCACACTAGGAAGACTGACCACGTGATTAGAGAGTTGGGACTGATCTCCAGGGATGGGAGGGAGCTGGAGGTTGAGGGCAGCACCACCTGGGCTGGGCTCCATCATTCCTGCCTATCAAAGGAAGCCCCAACACAACTTTGGACACCAAAGCTGGGGCGAGCTTCCCAAGCTGGCAGTACTCTGGACACACACTGCCACACAGCAATGCTGCGGGAGTAATGCGTCCCTAAGAACACAGAAGCTTCACATCTGAAACCCTCCCAGTCCCAGATTCTGCCCTATGCCTTTGAATGGTTCCGATTTGTATCCTTTTGCTGTAATAAAACTGTAATTTTAAGTATAGCACTTTCCTAAGTTCTGTGAGTCACTCTAAGAATTACTGAACCTGAAGGAGTCTGAGGGGGTCCCCCAAATTTGCAGTCAGCTCATCTGAAGTGAAAGTGGTCTTGGGAACCCCCAAACTTGCAGCTGGTATCAAATGTCTTGAGCAGACTTGGCAGTCTGGGGGACTTGCCCTTAGCCTTGGGTTTGGCTAAGTCCTGGTGAGAAGTGGGATAGGAACTTGAGAGGGGAGCAGGGTGAAGCCTACATTTGCCTGGAGATGGGGGACCTGTGCATGATTGTACCCAGGGAAAGGGAGACTGAAGTTGCCCAGACAAGGGCGGCCAGGTCACGGAGGAGACAGCAGGTGGAAATCGCTGGAATGTACACTGAGGGCATGAGGAGATAGAGGAGGAGGCTGTACTGACTGGCAAAGACGGGATGAGCCAGAAGACATGTGGGTTGGATTCTAAACCATTCCAGCAGGTCTGACGGACTTGGTAATATCAACAGCCGCTACTGCTGGTTACTCTCTGAACCTGGAATCTCATTGGAAAAAATTCTCATGATCCAGATTTTTTATTAATTCCAGTTGACCATCCATTAGTTCAAATGAATACTTTTTTTAGTAACTCACACCACTAATGGGGCCATTGATAGCATCTCTGGCCCTCGTGGGAACCCAGTCCCCAGTCTAGAATTAGAAGAGAGCTCCAGAGAAAGCCTCCAGCCTGGGACTCAGGATTGCAGCTGCCTTCATCTGGGAAAATGTGGCCCACATTCCTGGGGCGTGGGGAGGCAGGGAGTGGCTGCCCTTGGACAGACAGGCAGGAGGGATGAGAAAGCAAAACCCCTGATGAATTTACATGAGAGGCAGATAACATGGCAGAGATAAGTGAACGAAGCCAAGACAGAACAAAGGAGAGGTTGCAGCCGCCGCGCACGCTTATGGTGGAAAGGAGGCTGGGAATAAAGAATCCATGTTTTGCTTCAATAGCTAGGGCTAGATGTGGCTCTGCTTTCATTGTTCGAGGGGCACTGATGGGGTTGGTCACAATAAATGCAGCGGACTCCTAAGGGCATGGTTCTGAGCCAAGGAGGCCTCAGTAGCATGTAGGACCTTCCATGCCACCAGATCCGAGGCTGGTATCAGGACAGATATAGCAGTACTTGGGCTAAAATGTTAGTCTTCCAGATTGGTCGGTAAATAGCTGTTCTGTTTCTCTTAGATGCTCCTCCTTCCATAGTGCCTTCGTGACCTCCCACGACTCAGGAGCTACAGGGCTGCCACCCACTAGTGTCCTCCGGGGCCTCCCAGTGTAGACTCCAGGCCTTCCCTGTGTCCATGCTGATGGGTTGGTGCCCACACCCTAGAGGCTAAGGCAAGATCCCACTTCTAGAATCTGTGCAAACTGGGAAGTCTTCCTCGGGTGATCTAGTCCCAGATACCTCTTCCTCGTGGTCGTCCTGGGCCCCGTGGGCACCTGCTGAAGTACTTTGACCAGAAGTGCTGGAAGGGCCAGAGCTGTGACCTTCAATGTCCTCCGCAGCATCTGCTTGGCTCATGGATAACTGCAGCTGTCAGCAAGCAAGGAAATGAAGAGAACACCAAACTCCCCTGTAGAATTGTAACAATTCTCTCTAAAAGAAAGGCTCTCATTACATATTGGCTACGCAGCAGGTGCTGTTCTAAACTCTCCCTCTATGATCTCATTTGTCCTTCATAACAACTATTTTACATAACCACAGTGATCAGCCCATTTTACAGAGACGTAAACTGCAGCACAGAGAGGTTAGGAAATGAGCCCAAGGTCACACAGCTGGTAAGTCTAGTAAGAGGCAGGGCCAGGATTCAAATCCAGCCAGTCTGATTCCAGAGCATGTACTTTTCTCCACAGCGCTCCAGAATGTGCCAAATTATGCACAGTCTTTACAGTAAACCAGTGCATATACAAAAGTGCCTTTCTATTGTTAAAAGAAATACACAGTCAGAAATTGTCAGTTGTACCTTCGACATCATAGACTTCTGATCTTTAACAGCCAGATTTCTATGGGCAAAATTAACTAAGAGATTAATGACTTTTCCAACACTAATATATTTTTAAAATAAAAGCATCACTTTTTGTAAAAATAGCTTAGAGAAAAATTCAAGGAAAAAAACCTAGTATAGTCACCATTCAATTAGGCCCAGTTTTATCCCTCAGTTTGAATGGAATACTGTATTTCTTTCAATTCATTGCTAAGCTTAGTGTCCCACATCTAAAGTTTTTCCTAGAATAATTTCATGGAAGTAATTTTGTAAATTAGGCATTAAAATGTCTTTACTTTTCTTTCTTTAGCAGGTCTGCACCTAATATTTGCAGGGCTCTGGGAAAGGGTAAAAATGGAAGCCCATACGCCATTAATTTAAATATTTTAAAGTTATAAATAAACCCAGCCGGCCCTAAATAAAATATGCTCTAGCCTCCTAGCTTGAGAAATAAATCCTCGTAAGAACTTGGAAGGCTAGGTTCAAATTCAGTGTCCCACGCCATGCCACAGCAGCAAGGGGCAGCTGGCCCTGGAGCATAGCACCCTCTTCTTCTCACTTGTGGTTTCATCCCATGTCATGAGGGCCTCATGCACACACACACACGACACCCCAGCCCACAGTGTGCAAGTGCCACCCACATCCCCCCCAATAGCCACCCCATCGTCACCCCAGAGTCTAGTGGTACCCATGCCCGTGGCATGTTCTGCCCTCAGAAAACCACGGGAAAAGGCCTTTGTAGGACCGAGAAGTGGGTACAGATCCTTTTGGACAGGAAGACTAGGATGCCAGGTACTAAGAGGGGGCTCTGGGTGTGCCTTTCCCTTTGGCTTCGTGGGTCCTTCCCCATGGTGAGGGAGGTAGCTCAACTTGACATTATGTTTGACTTCTTGAAATCCTATTTTCTCTCTCCTTCAGATTAAAGAAGAAAATATCAAGAAGAGACAGAAAGTAGTTTCTTTATCTCCAAACCTGGTGTTTTTTGGAGGGAGCAGGCAGCTGGCCGGTACAGAGATCTGAACCCTTGACCTTGGTGTTACAATACCACACTCTAACCAACTGAGCTAACTGGCCAGCCCTATCTCCAACTCTAGTCTTTTCTGCTCATTATCCTTGAATTGGTTTAAATGAACATGAATAATTTTGTAGAAGTGTGATATTGGACTTTGTGAGTCCTAGTAACTATCCTCTCTCCAGTCAAGATGAACTTGTAGTCCCCGTACCAAACGTCTCACAATGCTTAAGCTGGGTGCCGTGTGAAATAAAATGTATAGCAATCAATTTTAAGTTAGCTATTTTCTAAAAATACATGTGCCAAAAGATATATACAGGGATGTTTATAGCATCACTGTCTATAATTACTAAAACTGGAAACAAGCCAAATAACTCTCAATATATGAATGGTGCGGTATTGAATATTCAATTATTGTGGCATGGGATTCTCGATGCTATATAGTATCTACACAGCAGGTAGCATCTATGCAGCAAACACACACATGCACAGAAAAATCTCTCAAATATAACATTGCACAAGAGAGGTCAGATCCAAAAGAGGACATTCTGGATGATTCCATTTATATAAAGTTCAAGAACAGGTGAAATGAACTTACAGTGTTTGAAGTCAGGACAACAGTTGCCCTTGGAGCGAGAGAATGAAAGGAAGGAGGCGCAAGGGGACTTTTGGGTTCTGATAATGACCTGTGTCTTGATTTGAGTGCTTGTGACATGAATGTGTTCACACTGTGATTCTTCACTGATCTGTGTCCTCATTATCGGTGCACTTTCTGTATGTGCTCGTATGTTATATTTCAATGAAGTTTATCATAAAAAATGCACATGTCAACGTAGAGATTTAAATAGAAACACAAAGGCACTTCACTGTGACCTGAGATGCAGGAGTGTGAGGGGACCCGGGTCCACGGCAGCAAGTCAGAGGGGGAGGCCGAATGTGGGGTCCCATGTGGTCCAAGGGGCTGGCCTCTAGCGGCTCTCAGGAGAGGTGTCCTCACTGCTACCTACTGGGCATAAGCCACAAGGCCACACCACAGGTGGCCCTCTAGTGACCACATTCTGCAAGGACCCAGGACTCTAGGGTTATAGCGGAGGCTGAATAGGTGGGATCTCTGCTCATATCCCCTGAGGTCCATCAGAACAAATTCATTTATGACCTCTGTATTGGGCTTGTAAGATTCCATGGGGGGAGGAGGAAGGAGGGGGACAAATAATGCTGTTACAGAATCATCTCTTAAATGGAGACGGTAATGCTTCTAACATGAGAAAGAACCACCAGGACCCTGCTCAGCAGCCTCAGGAGCCAACCAACAGCAAGCAGAGCATCTGTAGGGCCAGAGAGACGGGCCTCCAAGCAGTCTTCAGGGGCATCACCCACAGTGCAGACCAGGAGAACCTCCCCACTTCCTTCCCTCCTGCTCAAGTCACCCCGTCAGGAAAAGGAGAAATCAACCACTTTGAGGTCAACAACTGTTTAAGCAGCTCTTGTGGTGCAAAGAAAGACAAGCTACAAGTTTAGAGTCCTGGGACTCAGGGAAGCCAGCAATTATCTGACCCTCGGCTTCTGAACACGTTGAGTTTCTAGGAAAAAGAACCACATCTACTTCTCCAAACAAATATCTGTCCCCTTCCTTTGAAACACCTGGTCACCTGTTTGGACAAGCATCCACCTCAACCACCTTTCACCACCTCGGTCTCTCACCAGTTAACCAAACAGTAAACAAGTATTTTTTTCTCTGTCTTCCTCTTTATGCACATGGCACATAAATTGTGTTTCAGCTGGGCTTTGGAACTAGTCAAGACTGGCAGGCAACAAAAAGACAGAGGGAAGAGAGGCAGGTGATAGAAAAAGAGGGTACCATATCTTGTCACGACTAGGTCCCCAACTCTACCAGTAACTTTCCAACAAAAATTTTAGAATGATAGAAGTTAATTGCAACATATCTACAACCACTTTAAACAACGAATCTCAGCACATTCCGCTTAATCCTTTGCACTAATGAAGGAAAGCAGATCATCTCCAACAGCCTTTGTGTGTCATAGCTGAACTCTGATGTCCCCTGGAAGGTTCATCTTCCAACATCCTATTTGATTCGGGCTGACAGTAAATTCTTCGTCATCCCCTGAGTCAATCTGAGGCTCAGGAGCAGTTTAGACAAAAGGAAGAAACTGGTATTTGGCAATAGGGGAAAAGTCACAAATAATCTCACACAATCTATAACATAACATAGTAAAATCTTACAACTTTAGAATACTAATGGAAAACAACTTTTAATATTCGTTTAAAAAGACAATAGTAAAATACTCCTAATTTTCTTTTTTTTTTTTTTTTGTCCTTTTTGAGACCAGCCACACTGCGCTCAGCCAGTGAGCGCTGTGAGCGCACCGGCCATCCCTATATAGGATCCGAACCCGCGGCGGGAGCACTGCTGCGCTCCCAGCGCCGCACTCTCCTGAGTGCGCCACGGGCTCGGCCCTTAATTTTCAACTAATAAAACAACCATGTTCATTAACTACCACTAGACTCCGCACACACACACTGAGCAAAGTTTGAGGATTTAAGATTTAACTGCTAGGCTGGCCGATTAGCTCAGTGGCTCCGTTGGTTACAGCGCAGCCTTATAACACCAAGGTCACAGGTTCAGATCCCCATACTGGCCAGGTGCCAAAAACAAAATTAAAATAAACAAAGAAGATTTAACTGTACTTGCCCTTAATAGAGCATTATGCTGGAAATAAGAGGGCTGAGGGGGAAAGTCTAGCTCTACAGAAGGAAACAGACTTGGGACAGGCCAGTTCCTAACACCTCCCCACTGTCCTTCGGGCTCTGGAAGATCAGCATTCTCTCTAAACCCCAGATTTCCATCTCCAGGAACCCACATTTCTACCCACAGTGGGGGAATTGAAATGAACAGCCATACCTGGGATTTCCGATGATTGGCTCTAAGAACAAACGGCTTAATCAGAAGCATCCATGGCACAGAAATCAAAGCCATAATGACAAAGAAACTTTGGACTTCTTGCTGCAAAACCAGAATGGTAAGATGAGATCCTGTCATTTTAACATGACCACTCGGCATACTTTATATGATCACAATGATAAGGATGGGTTATTTCAGTAGCATTTTATTTTGAGAGGTCTAAAGCGTTTCAATGACTTGATTCACCTTCACATCTGGAATATTCTCATTGCAGAGAGAGAACATCAGTTCGGTGGTGCCCAGTGTCCAATGCAGGGTGGACACTGGAAACTTAATCTCTCTATTCCTACTCCCTAAATGGCCTCTCACTGCAAACTCATCTCACATGTAACCAGTCTTCAGAACAAAAAGTCCTCATGAGACACATCGTAAGGGCAACTCTATGCCTCCCTGGCTCCTTTCATTCTGTTTCATCCCCCGAGTCTGGATGAAAACCGTGGCAGGCCCCATGACCTCCCTGGACACTCAGTAGCAACCAAAACCCTTAGGTCTCCATTAGTAACAAACACTGTTCCATCAGTATTTTATATTTCCTGTACTAGACAATTACGTGAGCTCTCTTGCTGGCCTTTTCTCTCTTAAAAGAGAGTTCTTCACAATCTCCACCTGACTTTCATACCCTCAGGGCGGGCGGGTTACCTAACAGGTCTGGGATATCCACTTTGAGCTCTTTCACGGTCCCTCTCACAGCTCACTCTGGAACTAGCTTCATGGCTCTGCTGAAACCCAGGAGTCCCATTTTATCATCCTGCTAGTAAGGAAGAAATTAGCTCAGGACAATCTAAGAAATGCAAGTTCTGCTAAATTTCCCAGGCCCAGAAAGCCAGAAAGATATGAACATAGGGCCTCGGTCACATCTCCTCACCCTTATCTGAGATCATTGCTAAAAAGCACATTCTAGTGGCAGTTTCCAGACTAGGTGACGCCGCTGCAGGTAGAGATTACCCTAATGTTATCACTAATTGTACAATGTGACCCACACTTTTTTAGTTGCAATGTTCCTGGAATTTATGACGCAAAGAAGAATGTATAGAAAATCAGTAACTTATGTTATTTTAGTAAAAAAGAAAGGTAAGTTCTTAGAAAACAACTTGGGAACTTCTCCTCTAAGATTCTCCTTTCTCCTCTGAATATTAGACCTCTCTGTCCTCCAGAGCACAATTCCAGGCAACCTGAATTTGTGTTTCCCATGTTGCAATCCTAAAATTTGGCCCAAATAAAACTCTTTGTTTTATCTTTTTGCCTCAGTTTCTTCTTTTAGGTCTCCATTACATATTTCCTTCCACATCCTCATGCCCCCACCTCTATTTTTATACACTCCCCAGTTCCCAGTTTTGAGGAGGGACTCAGAGTTACTACTGTCTAAAGAACCAGAAAGCCTCAGAGGGCTCAGTCAGAGCTACTGAAAAGGAGTGGATGGGCCGGCACGGTGGCGCACTGCTACAGTGCGCCGCTTGGGAGCGCGGTGGCACTCCCGCCGAGGGTTCGGATCCCACATACAGACCGGTTCCCGCTCACTGGCTGAGCGAGAGGCGGGTGCGGCACCGAGGGTCGCGATCCCGTTGCCGGTCCTGGTCTGGTACGGGTGCGACACTGAGGGTTGCAGTCCGTTGCCGGACATGAAAAAAGACAAGAAGGAAAAAAAAAAAAGGAGTGGAAACCAGGTGCTCGAAGGAAAAGGAAAAACATTTCTGGAAGCCTTCACATTACAACTGTTCTGACCCAGCAGTCAGGGAATGCCGGGAGACAATTTATTATCCCGATTGTAACAAGATTTACCCCATAACAGTGGGGACATCTTATCTGTTCCTTCTTCTACCCTTGCTCCACTTTTTTTCCTTTTTACCACCATGCTGATGAGAACATCCCACTGTTAAGTGCTCAGCAGAGGGGGGATACCAGGTGAAGGTGCACTGAACCTGTCCATCCTAGTCCCCTGCACACAATGCCACCTCACTGCCATTTGTCCATTTTTATACAAGGCTTTTTCCCCCCAATAATGTACAAAGCAACCAGAGATACATACACGTAAATATTTCTGTTGCTATCCTTCCTTGATACAAGGTACTCAAAAAGTTTGTGGAAAAACAGAATTCAAAGATAGCACAAATCTTTCCCTGAGCTTTTCTGAAGACAGCCACGTCTGTGCTGAGAAGGGAATTTGCTAACTTCCTTTGTCTCTTACAGCTACATGACCACAGAATGAGGTGACAGAAACTTCAAACTGTGTCAAGAAAATTAATCTTCATACTGGGAGTGGGGAAACCAGCCAACTCCAAATAATGTTTCTGAATAATAATAAAATTTTTAAAAAGGTTGGAAAACCCATTCACTGTGCAATCCTCAGTGCATATTCCAGATGAAGTGAGGACTTTCATCTTTATGCAGCAGTTAGCACACGAACTTTTTGGTGAGTCTGAGTCCTCTACCTAGGACAGAAGACTGGTTTGGAAAATCCAAATAAACTTCCATTTAGATTCTAGCACTGAGTAAATGAACCTCCAAAATACACTCATTTCAGGCTAACATCTGGGAGTGATTCAATGTTACCATTAAAGTATAACAAAAAGGCACCATGACCGTAAGGTGGGATACCATGGAAGAGCTTTTGGAGGCATATCTCTTCTCGGGTTACCATATCATCTAAAATCACTCCTTACAAAATAAATAAATTAAAAATAAAATCATTCCTTATGAAAGTTCACAGGCATGTTTTCTTATTATTTTTGATGCTTGTGTAGGGGAGGAAAACACACTAGGAATGAAACTCATGAGCACGTGCATGACCCGGGAGCAGTGTGACCGTCACGCAGGATCTCCAGCAGGAGCAATCACTGGCAGGTAACGTTTGCACTGAGGGGCACCTGCCGTTGCCAAACTAGCCATTGAGCTTGATCCAGAGGAATCAGAGTGCATGTAAGTGGGTCCTTCTTGAGTGAAAATGTACCCTCAAACAATACGATCAGGGAGAGGCCAGTGGAAAAGAACTATTTGTGTTATCAATGAACTACTCAGTGCATTATTTTTATATCCAGCTCCCATGGCACATTTATACTTTTTTTGAAATAAAATATTAAGTTGCAAAAGAGGCTGAAAGAAATGAAAGAAGTCAAAATGGTAATAAAGTCTAGCCGGATGTATTGTCCATGGAAGAAGAGCAAAAACTAAACAAACAAACAAAAAGCATCTCTGCCTAGCTGTGAAAGCTCACAGGACGGCATGAGTTTGCTTCATAGTCTTTCAGGACCTCATTGCCCATGTGTGAGGGATGCCTCCTCTTGATTCTATTTCAATTTTCATCCTTGTAAACCTTGGCTAGAGTTTACTTTTTGAATAAAAGACTATTAAACTTTAAGGTGCTATTTAGAGCATTTTACAGTTTCAGGCCAATCAGTTTGAAGGATTATTTTTTTCTTTCTTCATTGCCAATGTACAGCCTTTTAAATCGTCCATAAAAACCTCTCTCATGTTCACCAACAGGAGTGCTGGGGCCACATCATAACCGTCAGTACCTGTGCATCCATTGAATAAGAACCTTTTGCAATTGTGGGGGTGCAGAAAGCTACTCCCCCAAAATATGGTGCTTTGACATACTTGAGTAAAGAAGCAGCCTCAAGGTCACTCTGACCTTCACCTCCCCTCCCATCTCTCAATTCTCTGTCTCTCTCCAAAGCACGGGATGAAGCTGGTTCTTTATCTGCCTAAAGTCTCGACCCACTAAAGAAAACAACAATTACTTCTGGTCTTTTCCCTGAGTTCTCATTAACTTAATTCATATCACAGGAAGAAAGGCGAGTCTATCAACATATCTGAACTAACTTTTGTCACAGACTGTTGTCTTATATTTCGGACCCATTCAGTATTTTAAAGAAAATCATATACCAGTCATTATCTGCTCTGCAGGCCAAATAGACTTTGTCCCAGGCCACTGTATGTTCTCCAGACCCACTAAACCCCCTGAGAACCGTTTAGTCCTATACTCCATCTCCCCCTTCCTTATGGAGACGGGTATAATAGCTCTGTACCCCACTGGAAAATTGGGATATCGCTGTCCTATGATTCCCCCATGCTTTGCCCCTTCCCATCATGTTAAATAATAAAATTTGTTATGCTTTTTCTTCATATTGCTTTAAATTTGTCAGTGATTTTTTTTTATTAATGAACCTTCAGGGGTAAAGAGAAAGTTTCCTCTTGGCCCCTGCAAAAAAAAAAAAATTTTTTTTTTTTTTAAAGATGACCGGTAAGGGGATTTTAACCCTTGACTTGGT